TAATACTTCTGACTCAAAACTGATTGCGAAAGTGTTTCTGCCTAATGTAACTGACCATCAATAGTAGTGAAAACGTCCGAATCTATGGAAATGTTGCCCAAGTTATTTCCGTAACAGTTTTACTGCATCTATCCAGTTAAATGGTACGGTCCAAACATACAATAAATAATAGTACACATGGACGGACACATGCACTTCACCAGCTTTGTCTCCACTGATTACAAGCGAACACTAGTGAAGAGACATAATGACCTTACCAGAAGAATTTGCTAGCTTCACAACCTCGAAAAGGAAGGGAGGAAACTGAATGAAACTTTCCAGACGAACTGTTTTCAAGCTCATCCTTTAAAAAGTACAGAATTAAACGTTCTTAATTAGAGCGAGGAATGTACGTACAGGGAATTGAGGTTGATCTAATACTCCCGTTTGAGGTTGATGCGGTAATTAAATTGTTGGAATGCGGCTCAATTATCAAATGAGCATTCAGCGCAGTTGAATCAGTCATCTCCTACACTTGCGAAAGAATGCGGGTTACTCTAGTCGAGTAACTGCTTTCCCAGTTTGCCAACTTGTACTGTACTGTGTCTGTGGTTACTCCATCACCCACCTAAACAAAACCACGAGGGCGGTTAGACTGAAAGTAACCCAACGAATTCCTGTATGGATCAATAAACTGCTGAACGGGTCACACTCTGACGGTCAAGGTCAAAGATTACCTCTACATTGAGACTGGATATCAGGTAACCACGATCACGGTATTACAGCATTTTCTTGGAGCAAAACTCGCAGTTGCTCCAGTTGGTACACGCGATTGCTCTCATACGATGGAAATCCGAACTGTACAGGGAGTACCTATTTGTAGTTCTTGCTCTGCCTTCGTCGAAATTTAAATGCTGGTAACCACAAAAGCTCACTAACATTAGGCAAAGCTGGTTTTGATTCTTAATATTTTTTATAATGCAGTTTGTACCTGAGGAAATACAGTAAAACCTTCCCAGAAATAAATTGTGTAATACTGAGCTTCTTTATTCTATATTCAAGTTTATATCGAGAAAAGATGTTCCGAAATACTGGAGTAACAACCGTTCACTGTATAGTCGAGCGAAAACCTTGAAATCTGTGAGAGAGCAGGATGCTCTACAGTGTTTTTTTGCGAAGCAGAATAGCCAAATGTCCCTCGAGGAAACAAAGCCTAACTACATTGGCAATAATAATATGTGGCTAATCTCCTCCTTGAAATAAAATGGCTTCCCGCAAGAAGTGTATATCGAACAAGAGAGTCAATTATTCCATCAGCAGATTAGTAATTCTACTCGTTTTCAAATGCAATAGATAGAAATCATTAGGACATGAGCGAACATTGGAGAACTAAATAAATAAATAAGAGAATAAGCCCTAGTCGGTACAACGGTTTTCTTTTCCCATTTAGCACGGTTGTCAGGTTTTCCCAACGAGTCGGCTGAAGTGATTAGTATTGAAAAATCAGAAATTAGTTCAATAAATAAGGGCGTTCTGAATCAGGACTGTGTTCGTCACACACACACACAGACCACATCCAAAGGATAATTACCTCCCTTATGTGAGACATCTTCCAAGAACGAGGAGTGCATGAAATGCGCATCTGTACGAAAGGACCCAACAGTTATGAGAATCTCAATGCGATAGAAACGTTTGTGATGACCAACAAAGAGCACTGGACAGCTATTTCATTCTGTTTGGAACTCGTCAGCAGTGGGTATCTTTTTGTGTCCCTGTTAGGACTCGAACCGCGAACATTCCGGCCGGGACTTCAAACCCTTACCCCTGAGCTACACGTCGACGGCCATCGCCTTGTACGAATTTAGAGTATCAAGCTTGGATTAGCCAATTTGATTGTTCAGAAGCACCAGGCGCTCTTGATGGTCTTGGGCTAATCCAAGCTTGGTACTCTAAATTAATTGAGCCATCTGCAAAGGTTATGAGCAACAGTAAAGAGACGAAAGCAAGAGATGGAAATAATCAACTATTAGAAAGTGGGACTAGTAATTCATTATCCAAAGAGGGAATCGAATCAATGTCCAACCCTATAACCAATAAGACTGCAGCTCGATGCACTTTGAAGGCGGAGAGGCTCATAAAATATGTAATGTGCTTTAGGCACCCATTCTTCAGTAAGCATTAGAAAATCGGGAAACGATTCAATTAATAGCAATAGAATGAACAAGCCTAAACGAGACTTTATGAAATCACATGAAAAAGAAATGGTATAAGGAAGGAAGTCTAAATCCACTTTTTGAAAACACGACAGTCAAGTTACACAGCTAAAAACACCCTACTGTGTTTCGGTTTATATACTTTGTTGGCCTCTGATCTGCTGGTGAAATCGGTCGGACATGATCTGAGGTCAGTGCTGAGGAAGAATGCGCACGAACAAGGTTTGTGGCCGTGCTTGGCCCAAGTGGGTGACAATTGTTCAACAAGTTTTCCGATGTTTTATAGTCTACTATCAGCACTGGGGCGTTTCACCAATAATTTCCATTAGTGAAATATACTTTGGCCTTATAATATGAGTTCGGATTCTGAAACTGTATGGATAATTTGTGGTCTACCTGCCGGTGATAGTTTATTGGGTCCAGAATGATGGCCACTGTGAACAAGAGGTTTTGCTCAATATTGCTATTTGATTTAACCTGGTCCAAAAGCAGCCACGGTACAGTTATTTGGAATCTACCGGGATTACAACCAAAGGTATAGAGACAATGAACTCGAGGCTTCACTTCCCTTAGGCATTTCTTATGCTCAATTCTCAATGCATTTAATCAGAATATAACTTGACGATTTGCAATCATCTGTAAATACGAAAACAACCTTACCACAGAGTATTATGTATGCCTTATTGTATTGCCAAAATTGAAATATTTTATTGATTAAATGAGTGCAAAATGCTACCTACAGCCTTTGTGATGTCCTTCTAATCATGATAGCATGAGCGTGCGTTGAACATCATAATGTACTAGAGCACAAATCTAATTGTCTTTACTCTTACCACTTAGTTAATGAAACTACTGGTGCTAAAGTTTAACTGACCAATTGTATTTTGCTGAAGGGTTTGTCATTATTGGCATCTTCGCATGTTCCCTGATCGTCAATAAATGAATGTCACTTGTGTCGCCGATTGACTGTGATAAAAGTGGATCACATGTTACACTGGGTAAGGGTACTCCGAGTCAAACACCGATTCACTTCAAATAACATGATGGTGCGGTAAAGGGAAAAGAGTGACTATCCTCGTTGAACCAAGGCTATTTGAAAGAGTAAAGTGATAAGTTTTTGCATCGCTCCGACCATAAACCAAATTAAACTTTATAGTATCAAACCCCAAATAAACCCCAAACAAAAAATAGCGTCTGACTTTTCCAGAGGAGTGAAATGTTTCAGAATTTCCATCCTTAGGTGACGAGTTTGGGTCCTACAATTCCTGTCTGATCGCCTCTTTTCCCGACTGCATTCTGCCTTATGAAAACGTACTTAAGATGCTTACACCCCATGAGAGTGACAACTATTGGGGATCTGTATTGAAAAATTGGATCTGGTTTTAACCGGTATAAATTAAAGAAGGCTTTGGTAGAAAAAAGCATCTACCTAAGGAACGATGAATTTTAGGTCAGCTCCTTAGAAATGATGATAATAAACCACTAGTCAGTGGGCAACGAAAGAAAGTAGAAATGGGAATCGGATATACACAGAAAAAAAACATACCATCAGCTTAAACGGGCCTGAAATACAGTTGAACTTAAAGCACTGAAAAATTCCAGGTAGGTTACAAAACCGGTGAATCTTTTCCGGTATAAAGGGAACATCCGTGAAAGTTCATGATCAAATTTAGATCGCACGTACGGTTAAGATTATATAAATGTTAAAAACCGAAAGCTGACTAAGTTCGGATAAAAACCCACATTACTGGGTTGGTGCTTGATCTGTTTAACTAATATGCGTGTGTTCATCCATAAAAGCCAGACCCACGAACACTTCACTTTTTAATTCATTTAAATTCTAAAAAGATTAGACCGACTACACCTAAGGGATAATCTTTTAAAGAATTCGTTGCGAAAATATGTGGGGATTTAACACAGTTAGTCAAATAAATGTACACATAAAGGTTTTCATTTAATGTGAAGCCATCATTAATCTGACCAAATGCATCAGTTTGATAGGACACAGTAAAATTATTCAAAACCTCTTGGAGAATACCAACTGAAAGGAAATTTATTTCACTCAAAAAATAAAAAGATCCTATCAAGTACTAGGCCATTGAAAATTCAAAGTGACACATTAGCCAATGACATTCAGAAGAAATATAAGCTTTATAAGCTTGAAATCGTAAGTATGTACTCGACGAATGATAGAGAGGCAACAACTTCAACATCCTCCATTATCATTGGCCAATTCATTACATTAGAGGGATTAAGAGATTGATTCCAGATCGGGGGCCATGTTTTCAGTTGGTAATAGGTATAAACACATTAATTATCTTTGAGCATCTGGGATCGGGAAACGGATCAAATAAAAACCGCTGTTAATTGGACCTGCTGACCAGACATCAGTCTAATGATGTGTTGAAGCCGTACTGTGAATTGCTCGTTCGAAAATGCTCTCACACGTGTTCGTGTGATAAGCGGTGAAGATGTCCCCGTACTTACACGAGAACCTATTGACTATCATTTTAGTGAACAAGCTGCGATACTGCCGAGTCAACCATACAGAACGTTTGTCTGATAAAAGTGTTACGGAATCGAACTAGATTGTTACTGACCATCACCGAAATACATTATTTAGTGACCAATTGTTCCACACTCGGAAGCACTATGTTAACTGCACGAAGTTGTATAACTAACCAACCAGCATCGACCTCATCAGTGCAAGCGAAAAACCATTCGTCCGTGGGCACAAATGACCGAATTCGGTATGTTTAAACTGATAACCATGTGGTCCGGCGACAACTTGAAACTACTTTGATCACCATGCGCCTGAACGAGAAACTTCTTGCCGTGGAATTGCACATACATCTGGATGGGGCAGTCCGGAATGAAACACTCTACGAGTTGGCTACAAAACGAAACATTAACTTACCCCATAAAAGACGAGAGGACTTTTTCCAATATCTGGTTCCTACTCAACCATACACGCTTGCTAATTTTCTACAACCATTCAAGCTAGTAGTACAAACATTAGCAGGTGATAAAGTAAGTATAATGATCGACATGATGTTGTCAAGTAGAAATGGCTATATCAATGAGATGTGAAAATTGTAGAATGTAACTCACACAACAAACGTTTGCTCATTTGACGGCTTGAGTAATCAATCGCGAATGACGAGGAGATGGGAGACTTCCATATAAGATCTCCCAAGATTTGTGGCTTCTTTTTAATACAAGTCGTGTCAGAATGTTGTAGTTATATTAAGGTGAGGAAGAGTTCCGGTATCCATATTATTGGTAAAAGAAGACAACTACTCAATTTGTTTAGGTTATTGCGAATCTGAGGGACTAACGTCAATAACACCAGCCAATTTGCTGTCAATTTGGTTCACGCATATTCCATCCCTACATTTTCACATCGATTTCTCTATCTGTGGTCAGTTCTAGAATTTCGAATCACCATTATTTGGCATTCAAACAAGTTTCTCCAAATGGTGTCTGACTTTTTCAGTTAAAGCCATATTCTGTGCCATATTCTGTTCCAACTACCACTACCACCGTATGTCATTACCTACCTGTTTCCAGCATCTTTAGTTGTGTGTGTGCTCAGATTGCAGAGATCTTGTGATAGGGGCAAAACAGTTGAGTGGTTACCACTTCTGAAGTTTTTAACAACCGCTTTCATAAGACTCGGATGAACACACCTTGCCTCTTGAGTTCCTGGGCCGATTGAAAATGGAAACAAATAGCCTAAACAATTATCGATTTCGTTTTGTATTGCACATAGTGTTATTCTATTTACATAAATGACTATCTTTTATATAAGATGTTATTTTGAAAACACCACGATGTCGGTACAGGTAAAAATAAGCCGACGTTTCGGTTACCGTGGGTAACCTGTACCGATACCGCTGTTTTCAAGATTACAACTTATATAAAACATCACATGGTGCATCGATTTTTCGATGCACTCCGAAAGTCATTCAGATCTGACACTATTTTTTTAATTTATATTGATATGAATTGATCATACAAGTCTGTATTGCTCGACTAACTTGAAGGCACTTGTGCGTAAGAGCCATTAGTCTGAGAGTCTTAATATATAGCAAGTACGTAATCCACAAAATCACTGAATCATTAAAATCTGCAACTTTCATTATTAGGATAAATTAAACCTACTACCAGCACAAATGTTGGAAAGATTTTTCCCTCAGTGTCTGATATGCAACGTGCATCAATCCGGCCTTTTGCTTGCTGCTATGAAAGCGTAATTCACTTAAGCATTTCCTTAACTATTTCCTTAAAACACTTGATAAAACTCATTTGTAAAAACAACGAAACGGGCGACTTCAAAAATTCAAGAAAGTTCAGAAAGTTATGACTCAGTCAATCACAAGCAATAAAGCACCATGTTCTTCTAACGGTCGATACTTTATGATATTCGCGCATGCACTCTAACTCGCTTGGCCCATTTCAACCACTGAGACACTATTCATCGTGAACAATGACATATCCACAAACCCGTTTTGAGTCAAACCAGAACAAATAAAACGAAAATTCGATTTCCTCCCTTGCTTGCATTTACAGTTATATAATACATTAACTAAATCTTTTATATTCTTAATACACTGATCGCCGTTTTAGTATGCTCACAAAAACGTTCTTCAACAAAACTGATCACGATGTAAGACGTATATGTTTGCACATTTAATGACAGACAACCAAAAGGTCGCTTGGACATTTTTGATTCTGGGGACGCCTGTTAGCTTCTCTTACAATCCCAATATCATACCTGCATCGACTACCAAAAATGGGACTATTGTGCTTTTGCATGTAGCTACTATTCAGCTGCTCCCTCTGAACCAAAGTAGCTTGCTCCTGTTACAGCTCATTATGGGATATATTGAGTTATAAAAGCCAAATTGATAGGATGGGTAATATGTGACACCTGCTTCGAAAATCTACAAGAATGGGATATTGTCTGTCCAGCATGCCCTGCACTATAATAATAATAATATAATGTATAGTGCAGCACATGTACCAAGAACCAAGATGCATTTATAAGTGAATAAATGGGGCTTTCACTTCACGATGTGCACATTCCAACAGACAACACAACGAAGGAACCGTTTGTGACACGAATCATTCAACCACAACTTTCATTTTTAAGTTTCCATAAATGTTGTGACTAAAAAATAGATGCTTCTCTTCTATAACCTCAACCGATACAAAGTTGAAAAATATTCTGTGTAATGACTTTGGACAAAATTCTTCCAAAGGACCGTGACTTTGCAATTATCCATTAGTTTTCAAAAGCTGGTTTGATCTGTATTATCACAAAAGCTTGACTAAAGCGGACAGGGAAATCGAAGTGCCTAACAACCGCGCGTTTCGTAACAAAGTTTAATGTTGTTGTTCGAACTCTTAGAATTATTTCAGATCAATTTAACGTGAACACAACTCACACTCGCCCATACATCATACTTTATTCGCATACATACATGATCTGTACGTCAGTGAGAGGTAATTGGAATTTGCATTGAACTTGATCGTATCCCATGATGATTGATAAATTTAAAGCCCAAATTCAATCTCATCTACCGGTAACTTTAATCACTTATCCAGCAGTTTCCAACTTCCTCACTGGTCAAAATATCAATAAGTCTGTGTGAGAAAACCATCGAAGTTGACATGTATATAAACAACGATTGGATAAACCTGAAAATATGCACACATGGATGACAGGAACTAATTTTAATGCATGGGAATAGAATCTAATCACCCGGTACGAATTCCCGTTCAATCGGAATATCTTCGTGTACTTTGATCAACACGAAGTACCTGTGTTTATTCACTAAAGCCTATTGCACACGCACAAACTGCCAAGCATGTGTGTACAAAATAAACTATACTGGTAAAAAATAGAGTCGAATGCACAGAGAATGAAAGTGGGAGTGTGCATGCGGTATCAGAAGGCTCCATGCTCCGGAGTACACATAAACCATTAAAATCAGTTTAGACGATGTCCCGTTGGGTGATGTAAAATAAGTCTTGGTTGTACAGATCCATGAAGTAGGTTTCGTGGGCGATTATTGTAACAACATATTTATCTATCATACATTCAGACAAATTCAATGGTCCTGAAGCAAGAGAAAATCTAAATTCAGTCTGAATGAATCAAGCACAAAAATATTCGCTTTAATTTTTGGTTTAGAATAAAACCAAGTCGATTATTGACTTTATGTTTTACCCCGTGTAGATTCCCAGTAACTTTGCACTGCATATCCTTTGTGGGTTTCCATATTTCCCCATAAGTGTGATACTCTTTATCAAAAACCAACAATACAATGCCCCAGTTTCGATGAACTTGCATGGAACAAAACCAGGATATATGTAATTCGTGATTGATGATAATGTAGCTCAACTGAACATTCTCGATTTTAGTCCCCGCTGCCAACACCAAATCGCCTTACATTGCTGCTGAATGCCAAAAGAAAGGAAACGGCTGTTCAGTTTTGTTTTCCGGCCCTCTCTCTATTGAAATCATGATGTTGTCTAGTCTTTTGTCATGATTGGTTTAATGTGATATTTTGCGAATGCACAGCACTTATTTAAACACCAGATGTAGTTAATCTTATTTCGCTTAGTAATAACTATCCCTTTGCACTTAATTTGGGATGGTAAACAGAAGGGCACTTTGTGAAACAGAAAAATGAATATTTGTTTGCAATAGAAAGTAACAAAAACTCCGCTTGTCACTCAGAACTTGTGGTAGCACTAGTTTTCCCCATATATGAGTTTTCTTGGAATTTTCATTGCCAAGTATTAATGTGAAGGAATTCAGCCAGCTTTTTGTAAATTTTACGAAGCATCTACTTTTACGCACTACCCTTTCTCATAGGAAGCCATCATTCGAGTGACCCAAGAATGTGTGGAAGATTGTGCAACTAAAGCCGGCCTGTGTTATGTGGAGCTTCGATTTGCACCTCACCTACTCATCGGTCCTAATTTGGACGCGGATGCCGTAACCCGGGCCGTACTGGAAGCAATAGAACAAAGCAAACATAAGTACGGTCTGGAAGTACGTCTGTTACTATGCATTCTACGTCACAAACCGGAAACCGCAGAGGAAGTGCTAGAATTGGCCATAAAATACCGGAAACATGGAGTAGTCGGGATAGATGTGTCCGGTAAGAGATTCACCTGTGCAGTAAATATCACCGAGATAATGTGTTTGCATGCAATTTGATTAGTTGAAGAATAAATGGTTAGAGATTTATGTATGGATCGTACTAAATGAGCATGTTATGAAATATAACCTTATAGTATAGATGAAAAGCAATAAGCAATGCATATGTGAGTACAAGTCATCGCATCCTAGGTAGATGTATACTACAAATGAATGATTCTTAACGAGGATAAAAAAGTTTGCACGGTGCTTTTAAGGTTTTTGATTGGTAGGTAGCACATGGGCAATGCGTACTGTTTTCATAGAATTATTGTTTATTATATTCAATCAATCTTGATTGATTCGGAATTCAAACACACACAAATCGCTAATCTGCGAGGCCCCACCTAACGCATGGGTCACTTCGAAGCTCGTGAGATTTTTACAATTGAATTACATGAAAAACTTCTGGAAATTTGCAAAAAAATGGAATATAAACAATACGGTATTCCCTGTCGAACGAATTAACTTAGAAAAAGTGTTTAGCGTTGATGATGTGAAAATGAAGATCTCACATCCTATAGTAATCAAACAGTTTTCAAAATAGTTACGGGAAACTTCAAAGCTGTGCTGACTATCACTAATGCCTATTGGGTAGATTATGTGTTCGTGTGGACTCATACACAGCTGCCGTCTGCTTCATAACTTTTGATAAGAGAGCGATGACCGTCGTGAGTGAGACGGAGTTTAATAATGAAAAAAAACCAAGAACTAAAAAAGAAAGAATAACGTTCACATTAGCTCAAGCTCAAATCAACTTGGGTTTTATTAAATACAGCAATCATTTGTTTCGTGATCGAGGCTGTTTCCGATGGGTTCCGATCAAGTTGGCTAGAGAATACTGATCCAACAAAAGCCGATGGCACCCAGTTTACTTTTGTACAGATGATCGGGGATGGAGGTCTCTCGTGTCTAATAAACATACATATATCATCACCTTTTCCTAACCACAGCAAGACGTACATGACCCTTTCGTTTTCCCCTTTCTCATACAAAGATAGATTAAATAGAACAAGGAGTGGCGTACAAGCTCGTTTTCAGTGATTCGTATTCATACCAAATACATCACAATAAATATTACGCTATTTATATATAAATCAGTATTCAACCATAAAAACGCAAACAAATGATTTGCGGAAGGGAAAATAACCTCATGGGTTATCTGGGGCTAATTTCATCTTGGAACCGGTTGTGGAATTCTCAATGATCGCATAATTGTGTTTGATAATCTTCCGCCGATCGAGAGAAAATCTTTCGAGGATTATGTTCAGTCGATCGTGGCTAAGCAAGGTGAACGCATTCGAACCACGCTGCGTCAGGGACTTAACCATGTCAAGCCCGTGGGTGAGTTTCCTGTCAACCCTGAGCAGTACGTTCACAATCTATCATGTGTAAATATGGACAAAATGTTGTTAGAAGTATTGTCTCTAGGACCAAAGTTTTGTTGTCTTTATGGCAGATCTAAGCAACTTGATGTTGAGGTGGAATTTGAAAAGCTCTATGCACAACTTTCTGATCTCGTTCTATTTGAGATGTGTACTGTGGGACTGTTTAGACAATTAAAGATAGATCAATCAATTCCTTCCTTCCTTTCTTTCCTTTTATTTTCCTTCCTTCTTTTTCAGGTGATGATGCAACCTGGCCGGATTACGGATTATCTCCCAGAATTATTGACGTATTTAAGGAAGCTTATAGACAACAGATTCATCGAACTGTGCATGCCGGTGAGAACAGTCCGGCTGAAGCAGTGATGGAAGCGGTGTGCAGTTTGCACGCGGAACGAATCGGGCATGGATATAGTGTTTTGCAAGAACCTACTATATACGAAAGCGTTCGAGCAACAGGGGTACACTTCGAAGTGAGTGAATTCAGTTCTTCTACGAGCCGAAACCCAGTTGGAAGAGCTTTGACTATTTCCGTCCGATAGCCATATGGTATCATTTCATTTGATGAGTTTTTATTTCAGAATGTTTTCTTGTGCGTTCTATGCGGATAATAATTGGCACAGCCCTTAAGCATCCAGTATTTAGTTCTGTGTTCAATCATTTACTGATGATGGATGACTTCGGTCAGTGAGGCAGTTTGCTGATCAATGTCACGTGCAATCTTCGGATTCGACGGAACAGGACAAGACAGATCATGGGATTTGAGGCGGAGCCAGGAGTAGTTAATTGTTTTTGCATCATTAAACTTGGGACGTCAGAGCGCTGAGACAGTTGTCGTACTTCTTTAATATAAATTTTCTACTCAAATATACGTTTAGATAAGATTTGACCGCTTGGTAATGACTCCACGAGTGAAGCAGCCAAAAGTATATTCCATTAAATGTAAAACGCTGATTTGCCCATTCGTCAGTACTCTTCATCACTTTATCATTTTGGAGTTGATCAGTACACATTGAAGAAAGCTAGCAAAAAGTAAATATTCCCATTGCGTACATGAACTGCATCAAGCTGTCAAGTAGCATTTAGCATAGGGTGCCAGTAAATTTTACGCTCCTACTAATCGGGTTGTTACTTTCATTCATTTATATCACTCATAAACACTGACCATTTAACTGACCATTCAACATTTGGGTTTTTCGTATTGTCATTCCGAAACGAATGACTTCAATATCTCAGATAGTGGTTTTCCGCCTTGCATTAAAACATGTCAAAACAATTCAACATCAATCATATTCTGATGCAATACGGAATACGATCGGGTGTGATGAGGAGTAAATGCGTAGTGACAGACGTATGCATTGTGGTACTGGAATTCGATGACGCAATAGTTTAGTTATAAACAGTTTTGTACCACGTCCAATAGATTTTGACAGCATCGCATGAAGTCAATATGAAAATTGTGCATTCATGTTGGGTTAGGTTTCAGTTTCCTGCATTCCTGTTGCTGCGGATACCCCGAATAAAATATACGTAGAACGATTAAAAGAACCGTGAAAGCTGAATTAGATAAGCAAGTGAATGTGCACGTGGTTACTTTTTTGAAGCAAACAAGAGGCTAAGAGAAGTATGACACAAAGAGATTGCGAAAACCAGAGGTACAGGAAAGTTAAACGTTAAATCCAGCTCGTTTGACAGACGTAGATACGGCTGTGTGCAGCTCACTGTGCATTACCTGTGAATTGCCTTTAAGCACAAATGCGGAAAGTTCGTTACATGCATCATGCGGTCTAGTAGCAATGACATCTACGAAGATCACTTTGGGAACTCTACCACATTTTGGAAGAAGCTTTATAAATTTTCTTTGAAGAATAAAATCCTTCTTAAGTAAACCAATACACAAAAGATTGGTACAAAATATGATCAGCAGGGGATAGCGCAAGAAGTTTTAGTCTAAGGGAGAGAATGATGGTGTTGTAATCTCATAAAAAATGCTTTGCGGATGAGCGTGGATCATGAGGGATTACAAGTTGCATGCATGGTGTAACGCAGCTCATCAATTTATCTCAGCAACGTTCTTAGTTTGCTGGTTACGGTTACCGGATTTTTGGCGTTTCCGCTAGAACATCACTGAGGACTAGGTTGGCAGACTAGCAGATGTTTGTGTACTATTCCTTCGGCCTCTTTAGGAAGTGTTTTAGATTTGTTTCAAACAAAATTTGTAAATACAAATCTGTGTCCAGTTTGCGCATAAATACGAAAAGAATTAATGATTTCAAGCTTGTGCGAGCTTAAAATGACCTTCAAAGTAATACAAGCACGGTACATGTACAGTAATATGATGTTGAGTGGAAACTGAACTGTGAAATTGCGGCCGATTTTAAGGCACCGCATTTTAACAACGTGCTCCATTATGTCGTATTAGAAATCAAGTCCATTTTTGGTAAAGAAACATTGAAAGAAATTTATTTACTTAGCAGTATTTGTATCCAAAAAGTGTGGAGGATGAAAAGTTTCTAGATATTTGTCGAATAAGCACGATTCAGAAGATACATCGCACACATTTTACGTAAATATGTCTATTAGCTACAAATAAAAGGCTACTCATTGAATGAT